ATATATATATAATTAAATTCTATTTGCTAATATTCATTACATTTTTTTTGCCTCTATATTCATGAAGGATACTGTTTTGTCTGATATTGATACTAGGGTGATAAGAGCTTTATATATTGAATTAGAAATTATTCCCTCCACTCCTGCTTCATTAGGATTTTGATTCTGGGTTGTGAACAGGCCTTTTAGTATTTAAGAAATATTGCGTCACCTCCTCTGGGCTTCCATGGTCTCTGATGAGAGATCTACTGCTGTTCAAATTGTTTTCCTCTTATTGATGCACTCTCACTTCCAGTTTTTTCAAGGTGTTCCTCTGTCTTTAGATTTCAGAAGTTTAATTAGACTGAGCACAGATTTTATCTAGATTTAAATAAAATATGAGTTTAAGCTTAACCTTTCACATTTCCTAAATCTGTAGGTTTTTGTTTCATCAAATTTGGAGTTTTCAGCCATTCGTTCTCTAAGCACCTTTCTGATCACATCCTCCCTTCTCTCTTTCTGAGACTCTGATAGTAAATAGTAAGATCTTTCTAAGGGCAGGGATTCCTGAAGCTCTGTTTAAAGTTTTGAAGTCTTTTTGCTCTTTATTTTCAGATTGCACAATTTCTATTGTTCTGTTCTCCAGCTCACTGACCCTTTTCTTTGTCCCTTCCATGCTGCCCTTGAGCCCATTTACTGTATTTTTAAATTTTGATTATTATATTTTCCAGTTTTACACTGTCCCTTTCATTTTTATTCTTATGTTTTATTTCTTAGCAGAGCCTTACCATTTTGTTTGCTTGTTTGTTTGTTTAAAGGCAGTTAGTTATTACTCATTGAAGCATTCTTATCATGGCTACTTTGAATTCTTTGTCAGCTAGCTCAAATATTTCATAAGGTTAATATTGGCATTTTTTGATTTCTGATATTTTTTTCACTCTGTTTGAGACTTTCTTGGTATGTTGAGTGATTTACATAGAAACCTGAAGGTTTTCATGTTAAGTGTATCCTCTTTATTTTATTTTATTTATTTTTTGGTACCAGGGATTGAACTCGGGTCCTTGAGCTTGCAAGGCAGGCCACTGAACCACTGAGCTAAATCCCTGGCCCAAGTGTATCCTCTTTAAATCTGTTGTTCTAGCTGGCTTTTATTTTCTTTGACTTAGGGTCTTACCATATATTTCAGGTTGATATTTTCTTTGACTTAGGGTCTCACTATATGGTTCAGGTTGACCCTGAACTCCCTGCGTAACTAGTTGATCTTGAACTCACACTGATCTTCCTACTTCAGCCCAGTTCTAGGATTACAGATGTGCACCACCCTGCCTGGAATTAGCTGGCTTTACTAATATTACTGTGGTGAGGGAAGGTCACAGAGCCACCACCTCATTACTACCAGATAGAAGCAGTTCAGGCTTCCCTTTTGATACCTGATTTGATAGAGGGATTTCTGGCTTCCCTACAATCCGCACTGGCATCAAAGGCCTTGGGCTAGGGAAACACTGATTAATGAGCTATATATGTTAAAGTCTCGGTGCCTTATATGTCCTTTTGAGACCACGCTAAGTGACAGGGATTTTTTTGTTTGTTTTGTTTTGCATTTTTTAGTGGCAGTGTTGATAGCTTTGTTACAGTCTCTTATGAATGGTTGACATAAGGCTACACCTCTTTTTTTGTGCCGTTTGTCTCAAGTGGAACAGTTGCAGTCTTGCTCTCATGATTCTTTGACTGGATAACATAATTGGGAATTGTGTTTTGTTTGTGTCTGCTTCCAGGTGCTGATGCCATCAGCTCCATGTCTGGCATATGTGAAAGAAAAGCAAAGCAGTGGGTTCATTATCAGGTTATCTTTCAGGTCCTGCTGTCCCCAGCCTGTCTTCTCTCTTCTCTTCATCTTTCAGAATCCATTTGCTTGGTGCTCACATAATGTTCAGGGGTTTCATTATATTTAGTAGAAGGAATAGGGAAACATATGTGTATTCTATGCTTTCCTGACTGAGAATTTTGTTAAGCGGTGGCATTTAATGCCCTCCAGTAAGCTATAGCAGGTATTACTGTGACCTGCCCGAAGACTCACAACCAGCTCACTTCCACCTGCCAGTATTTGTGTCTCTCTGCAGGGAGACTTTCTCTAAAGCCAAGTCAGACTGCTCTGTTTTTGCATACTAAATTGGAGGTGCAAGGGAATTAGTCCTGGGAACAGCCTTTGACTAATAACTTCCGGGTATTATCATTAAAGAAAAAACAAGCAATTCTTTCCTTTTGTGTGAGATAACTCTGAAATATGTATTTTTTTCAGAGTTTCCCTGTGCAACTAAGGTCCAGTTGCTCTCAACAGAAGCTGAGATAATTAACCATTTATTGCCTCCCTTCACTTCCTATTTCAGTATCCTCTTTCCCTATAGGTATTTCCTTTACCGTCCATACAAATGAAATGCTTTCAAGTCCTTGTCTCAGCATCAGTTTCTGAATAAACTCAAAAACTGCGTGACAGTTCTGCATTAAGTGTTCTGGAGTTCTTTTACTTAGAAAATTGTTTTTTTACTTAAAAATTATTTTTTTCTTAGAATTTGATTCTCATTGTTCCCTGAATAATTTGAAACAGAACAGCAATAACAAGCACAACAAAAACACAGAATAAGGAATTGTTTTAGTAGTCTCATATCCAGAATGCTTTCACCAGCTCCGAACTGGTATTCAGCTTAACCTTACTTATTATAGTATCAGTTGGTGTCCAGTTCCAATCTGATAAACAAGCCAGCATTTTTGATAACCGCTGAACTTCTGTGTTTACAAGCGTTCAACTCCTTGTGTTCAAGTAATACCACTACAGTGTTCTAAACTATATGGAAGAAATACTGGAATCTAAAGGAAGAATCAGACTTGCTCTTGTCTTTATTTCTTTAGGAGACCTTCCTTGCAAAATTGATATGTCCATGCTGGGAGATAATCATGCCAATAATTTCCTCAAAATGGGTAAACATTACTTGTGGGGGAACTGCTTAGCATTTTTCTCTTTACAATATGAGACTGAGTTTGAAAATGTAAAGAATCTATTCCTTGAACATAAGAAGTGAACATTGAAAAATGCCTTTATATCGAGCTAAGTCTTGTCAGCCTTTCTTTAGCTTAGGTATACCACTGATGAAAATCAGTGGGAAATCACTTTTCATTCTGATCAGTTCTATTCTATTGGTATTGCATGGTCAGCAAGTATCGTTAACCTCAATGGCAGAAAAAGAAATCCTCCCTTGCAGAGCAGGGTTGGGGAGGTCTGTATGGTTGCATATAAAAATAACTGCCATACTCTGGTTTCTCTTCAGATCAAATAAATCTTTTACTAAAAAATGTTTTAAAAATTGCTATTTTGCTAATTTCTATTATCAATATGCCAATGACTTTAACTTTATCAATATTACATTCTGTCTTAGCTCCCCCAAACTTTCATTTATTATTTAGGGAAAAGAAAGTCTCCTATCTCTTTCTTCTGACTTTTTCACAACTCAGGATATTAAACTATTTCACATTTATCTCTGGGACATTTTGGTGAAGTGCCAACAAATCATAGCACTTAAGAAATGGGCTGGTTCAACCAAATCTTACAAATGAAGAAGCAGGTATAGAGATAGTATCCATATTATATAAGATCATAATAGTCATGGATGGGAAAGCCAGAACAAGCACTCATTTTCTCTGGAGCCAAGATTTTGTAGTGGAGGTAAAATTATTTTTGAAAAGTTTAACTGTTATGTAAGAAAAATGGTGAGCGACCCCAGTTGTAAAGGCCAGGCCTTGTTTCTATGTGTGCACTCAGAATATGCCCCACTGCTCCTACTCCTTTCTAGGAAGAAGATCCAGGCCAGTGGATCATGACAGGCAAGGACGCATGGTTTAGCTATCTATGGAGCTTCCCCACTCTGAGATTCCAAGGATTAAGATGTGTTTTTATTTGTAGTTAGCAAATATATTGACAAACGAAGTTACAAATGAGCTAAGCTCTTTCATCCCTGAGAACTTCTGACACCTGGCAAATCCAGAATCCTCATTATACTTCCCTCAAATATTTTCAAACCTGGTTTCAAGGGCTTTGTCTAAAGAAATTTGCACATTTTTGCAACAATTTGGATGTCCTGTTAATTGGTGTTTATTTAATGATCTTTCCACATTTATGGCAGTTTTTATTTTGTTTATTCAATATTCTTTAATACATATAATACAAACGGATCTTACAATGGTATCTAGTTCATAAAGAAATCAAGAGGATTCAATGACACAATGAAAAGCACAATGACATAAAGACTCACAAACATTAAGTTTGTGTCCTTTTAGTGACAATAAGATTATCGTTTCATAAGAACTAACCAGGGTATGAATATGATAGAGTTAATTCAGGAATAACTTTGCTCCTTCCCCCTGCTCATCCCATTGTAGTTGAGAAAACTGCGATGGCCTCCTTGATTCTGTGGTGTACACATGGGTACAATGTGAGATTGAAGTGTGTTATTATCCTCACTTTACAGATGAAAATCCAGAGGACTAGTAGGACGAGTGTCAAGATACAATGCAATCCAAATGTCCTAGCACTCCGTCTAAGGTGCTTTCATTAACTGTACTAATGATGCCTGAGATGGCAAGCAGATCCCAACTTCTTGGACCCCTTACCTGTGTCCCAGCTCATGCGCAATTGTGAAAGCCAGAGGGAGCCCAGAGTCTTCATTGATGTTACAACTTCGGTGAGGCTGGCACATTCCTGACAGGTGAGACAAACCCAGGGTTTCACAGGGACGATTGACACCAGAACAGATGTCTTTTCTGAAGACAGAGAATAGAGATGGTTAGACACACAAAGAAATGTCTGAAAAATCTCCTAGAAAAAAATTCTATGTATAAATTTACAATATCATTTGTGAAGGATGATTAGGATAAACATTTAAAAGTCATTATGAATAGAGGGTGTAATTTTGTACTAAGCTTATTTTGACTTTACTTCTTAATTACTGAATTTCACTAGGACTTAAAAACATGCGGAAATACGGTGAATATTTTATTTGGGGTTATTTTTCTTTTGATCATATGATTTGGCCAATAAGTGATTTCATTCAAAACCGAAGTTAATTGAATTTTTAAATAAAGAAAGGACAATTAGCAGTGACTGGGATTTTTCAAATGTGAAAATTCTCTGATGTTTATGCTGAAAACTTACGTGAGAGCTTCTGGTCATTCATAAGAAAAAAAAATTTGTCTTTTCATCCCACCCAGAGATCAAATTGATTACCTGTCCATCCCTCATTACACTGACAATACTTTACATGGGAGAGAGAGTAAGAGAGACAGAGAGAACAGGGGCATCTTGTGGAATTCACTGATTCTGGGAAAAGAAAGTAATGGCTATAGCTTTTAAATAAAAATATGCGGGCGGGAGTTATTTCAATCACTGAAAAGAGTTTGAGAGAGTCATTAACTCATCATTTGATTTTATTCAGTTCTTGGCCAACAGCTCTTGCCTTGCACCAATGTTGATGTGGTTCTGAGCTTTAATTAACTGCAAATCTTATTTCATGGGTTTTGTGTCGGCACCATTTCTAACAGCAAATGGTCTACTTATAGTGCCCTATGGTCTGCAGAAAATATCCAGGCTTTGAGAACTCATGTGAGTATTCAGTTCTTTGGGTGAAAACTCCTGGGGCCATGGGGCAGGAGAGGGAAGTTCCAGTCTCACATTTTGCCAGCAGATGCAGTTTGCTAGCTGGGAGAGCTTTGTCACATTAGCATGTTTGCTAAATGGTTCTTCCACTGGTGTGAGCTAGGAGCTGTTTAGATCATACTTGCTGCCTCCACAATTGACCAAGAACAGCACAGTGTTCTGAGAATTTCATGAGTGTGAATACCTGGGAAGCCTTGCCTACCCTCCCCGACTTGCTGCCCTTGGGTGGCACAAAGACATAGGAGTACCTGGTGAGAAGGACAGCCACATCATGATGGACAGGGTTAAGGTCACTCTTAGGATTAATGCTCTTCTGCCATTTGCAGAAACTGGACAGTGTCTTCTCTGCATGGTGAACTATTTTCAACCCTTGCTGGAGAAAGAAGAGGAAAAGACTGGCGTGAGGAAATCACTGTAGTCGAGGTTCATGCACATTAATCACCAGAAACATCCAAAAGAAATGAGCTCAGGCTAGGAGCATGAGACATTTGGCAGGATTTTGGTGGGGCCATATTACTGCTCGGAACTAACATTCTGATGTAAATATTATCACTCTTATGACTTCCACTAAAAGGACTTGAATGAGAGAACTCCAGGACAGAAAGTGTCACTGGGGCAAGCAGCCTTTGAAGAAAGTTAAGAAAATAAGACAAGTCCAATAGCTATTTAAAGTTCTATTTCTAGTAACTCTCTGAATCCCAAGTCAATACACTTCTGAAGACACTCTTTAAAGGCTAATGGAAAATGTACAGATTTTCAATAAAAAGCTTTCTTTGCTCAGGTATACTCTAAGACTGGGTATGTCCTTCATTGTTTCTTCTTGGTTTGGCACCTGTGGGTGGAGGGCAGAGAGTAATATAATCTCTTCAGGCTGTGACCAATGAGTCTCACTGGTCCTCTGACAGCAATTAAGATGCTGTAGTGGCCCCAAACTGCAGTTTCAAGGGCCTCTGAGGTCCACTGTATCATACAGTTGACCCACAATTACTAGTGAAGATTAGAAATGGTTGTCTCAGACAAACTGGATATGCATTTGACAATGTGGGTAGAAAAAAAGAACCAGTTCTAGGGGGAAGTTTTAACATAGATATTATACCCCTGCCCTCCCCGGCTTCTATATACAGCTCTTTCCAGGATAGAGTGGATTCTGTTGGAAGGATGACCATCTTCATTGACCCACTCTGAGCTGAGACTGTTACTAGGCATTTGAGAACTTGGGACAGTCCCTGCATCAAACTATGAGCTTGCTTCTCGCTTCTTATAAATTTTTGGATGCTGATGGTTTGTACTCAAATCAAACAAGGCGTAAAGAATTTCAGTTGCTTTTAGAGGCATCCAGGGTCAACCTAACCATGCTAATTGCCAACCAAATAGACCATACTTGCTGCCTTCCTTTCATGAAGACGCAGACAGATGGTGCATCAGGCATGAAAACTCACTGGATTGCTCAGCATGAAGAATTTAAATGGAGAAATAAGCTTCGTTATTTAATAAGCTTTGTCATTACATCATTTGCATCGTCCAGGAGAATAATGTGTGATGTCAAGGAGGAGTTCTTGGGGATGAGCTGGGGCCAGGAGGACTATTAGCCAGTCTGTAGCTAGAACAGTGACCTCCCCAGATGGAAGCATAGGGTTCCCATCTACCATAGTGGACTTGCATGGATGGAAATGGAAGGAGAGGAAAGGAACGGAAGAGTAAAGAAAGGGAAGTAGAGGGATGGAGCAAGGGGAAAGGGCAGAAAACACATTTCTTGATTATTTACAGTTTGCTAGATATTTTTCCATGTCTTCTTATTTAAATTAATTATACTCACCATTATTCATAAAGTATTATTTTATTTTACAATAAAAGGCAGTTAAGCTCGAATATATGGAGAACTATTTCAGAGCCACTAAGCTCAGACATCTAAGCAAAAACATAAGAATAAAGGTCTCTATGTGAAATTTGTGGAGGTGATTGGTCACCAGCCTCCCGGATGTAGTGCCTCAGCTCTGCCTCCTTCACATAAAAAGCAGACTCCCAAATAAAGTAATAACTGTGAGCAGATATCTCATGTCTACTTTAACCCTTTTTGTAGGGAAGGCTCTCTGAGAGAATACGTATTAACTAAAAAACAAAACAAAACAAAACAAAAAAACCCCACTACCATTTACAATTGTTCCAAAGCAATAAAATATTTAAGTATAAAACTAAGAAAACATGTATGGACTGTAAAATTAGAAAACAAAGCCAAAGATATTAATAAATACAGAAACATACTATGTTTATGAATTGAATCAATACAATAAAGATGAAAATTTTTAGCATGCAGCTATAATAACGAAGACAGTGTGATACAGACAATAGGCACACAGATCAATTGAACTGATAAGAACCCCAAAATTCACCCATACAAACACACCTACTGATTTTGGGCGAGGGTAAGACAATACACTGAATAACTGATGGCCTTTCCAATAAGTATTGTTTGACAGCAAGGAAACAAATAACCTTTTTAAAAATGTAGAAAAAAACTACAAATAGACATTTCCTAAAAGGAGAGATATTCATATGATTAATAGGCATGTAAAAATACTCAACATCACTTGCTACCAGGAAAATGCAATTTAAAATCACAAGGAAATATTATTTTATACCCCTTAAAATGGCTGTTATAAAAAGTATTAAATATGACAAGTGTTAACAAGGATGTGGAGAAAAATAAACCCATGCACACTGTTGATGGGAATGTAAATTTTTTTAAAAATTAACTTTATTGGCACATTTAGTGTATACAATATAATGACATTCATTCTTGGAAATGTGTACCTTTACATAATCCATCTTGGTTCTTATTTTTTCCCCATTCCCCTGCCCTCTCTCCCTCCGTATCTACAAAGACTTTGTTTCCATTATTTTTCATTTTCTCATATTAACTTCATTCCCCTCTTTACTTTCCCCTACTCCTCCCATTTCCCCTTCCCCTTTGTCCCTTTTCTCCCTGTTTAATTGGCCTTTATTATTATTATTAGTAGTAGTAGTAGTAGTAGTACTGGGGATCGAACTCCGGTTCTTGCGCTTGGGAGGCAGGCGGCGGCACAACTGAACTAAAACCCCAGCGAAAACCCTGTACAATGTGAATTGTACAGGCACTGTTAAAAACAGCATGGAGGCTTCTAAAAAAGTTAAAAATATAGTTGTCGTTTGATCTAGTAATTCCACTACTGCGTCTATAACCGAAGTGCATGAACTCAGTACGCTAAAGAAATAGCTGCACCTCTGTGTCCGCTGCAGCGCTATAACAGCTGAAGCATAAGGAAAAGTGGTGTATATACACCGGGAAATACCATTCAGTCTCATAAAAGGAGGGGATCTTCTCATATGCAACAGCATATATGAATCTGGAGGGTATCACGTTATGTGCAAGAAGGCCCGCAAAAGCAAATACCTCGGGAGTCCACAAGCATGGAATGTATGAAAGTAGAACTCAGAGAGACAGTAGGGAATGGAGTTGGGGTGCAGGAAGACCGTCAAAATATTTAAAATTTTTAGTTCAGATAGGAAAAATGAGCTCAAGAGATCTATCGTATGACACGATGACTGCATACTTAAAAATCACAGAGAGTAAATGCTGTCACCATGAAAAAAATGCTAAATATATGATGCAGTGCATGTGTGAATGAGCTTGATTTAGGCATTCTATAGTACGTATATCCTTCAAAACATCATGGTGTGCATAATATATATGCAATGTTTGTCAACTTAAAAAGTAAATGAACACAATAGGATGTTACTGAACCTTAATGGAGAATGAATTAATATGATTTGCAGGAAAATAGATGGAAATTGCAACCATAATGTTAAGTGAAATAAGTTAAACAAGAAAGTGAAATATCACAAGATTAATCTTATAAAAGAAACTTAAAATTTAAATAAATGAGGAAAAGAGGAGAAACAAGAAGGCAGGCTTATGGAATTGGGGAAGAGATTAGGAGAAGGAGAAGTTAAGGGGAAGGGGAGAGATGAATATAAAATGATCAAGGTGTGTTATATGCATACATTAATACCCTCAATTAGATATAACTCATGTGTTGTGAATCTACAGTAATAAAAAACTAAAACTATAAAGTTTAAAATATACATAGAACTTAGGGGGAGGAGCAAAGGCTGTGGTCAATAGCCAAGAAAGAATTACACTGAGTATGAGAGAAAGACTCCATATTATCTGCTGTTCTACATATCTGAGTCCTAATGAGATCCACATGATAGTATCATCCACATTCCAAGTGCTTAGCACCCTAATGGCTTATAAATCACTTCCATGTAATTCATCTCACTTCATTTATTTTGAAGCAAAACCTTTATTGGTACATTTTTAGATGTACAGAATGATCATATTCAGGATAGGGAATCTGTACCTGTATCTGATAAATCTCTTGATTTTGTAAACAGCCATGTGCCTGGAAACTCACCAAACTCTCTTTAGATCCCCAAGAATACCTAGCCTGGCTCTGAACACCTGGGCCTGCTTATGAACTAGAACACTTGTTAAACGAAAGACAAAATCTTCTAAAGATAGCTAGATAACTAAATATCTCAGAAACTCAGCCATATTCTCCAAACAGCTGTCATTTGAACTGCATTGGCACTTGGCAACAGCTAAATTCACCCTGTATCAATTCCACTACCAGAGGCAAGGTTGGAAGCTCAAAGAGAACTGTTCAGACCTCATTAAGATACCAGAGTGCCTTTGAATCATTTTTCTCAATTTGCTGTTGCCATGCTACCACACCTGTCATCAAAATCTTTTTATCTTGATATTTGTTTTATTGTGTGTAAGTTGCCAGGAAACAAGGCCAAAATGGCAAACTCTCATTCCAGGAACCAAGAAATATATGATATTCGTGTTATGGAATTAATGCATTGTCTGTCATGGGTTTTGCATGAGGCCTTGACATCTATCTTAGTCTAGAGGTAGTCTCCTGGGTGACTCTTACATCACATCTTCCCCATGGGCTTTGGATAAGGTAACTATCTGACTCATTCCTCCGCTTGGCCCTAAATCAGTTCAGGGCTAATTTATCAGACTTGTAACTTTCCCACAGATTACACAACAAAATTGAAGGATAAACAGTTCTGTTCGAATTCGCCATTTTACTGTTTTTGTGAAATAACTTCATACAAAAAGTAGGGCCAGGTCAAAATGAAGAGATAAGTCCAAAACAATAACAAAACATGTATTTTAATAAAGAGACATAAAGTAAATCAAAGAACACGAGTTCAAATTAGCTTAATAAGAGAAAAACCATGGACTAGATGTGATCAGTACAATAAATTGGTAAATGTAAACTTTTTGAACAAATGAAATTGAATATGTCTATTTTCACACAG